TCCATATCTGAAGTCATATAAAGTATCATGGTTCAAAAAATCTCGTAATAATTGTAACATTCTGAATTTTTCGAAGTGGGATTTAACACCACAATGATGTCACTTTATCTGGTAGGTCAGTTCGATTATTGTTTTTTGAATTACTTGTTAATAAAACCACTTAACTCAGGGGTGGGTGGCATTGTGGTTAAGGCTTGGGATTTAAGCCCCAAGGTCACGGGTTCAATTCCTTCCGTCTTGGGTCAATTTCCTGAGCGAAGCACAGTTGGTTAGGAGGTTGGACCTCAAGTTATCTAATCAACACTTGGTGTGGGTTCAATGTTCCCCCGCTGTGTGAGTCCTGACTTAAGCGGATCTTGTCTTGGGAGGTCGGGGCAAGTTCCTAGGTTATAGTCTCCCCGCTTAGAACAGTTAACAGGACACCTTGGTGATCTCTGTAAGGGGCGCTATCTTGGACCTGCGGGAGAGTAGGAAGGATTTTCCTGTAACAAAAAAAATCACAGTTTTCCCCATATTAAAGAATATATTACAAGTAGAGAAGGCTTGACTTTATTTGAGTTTTAAGACAAAAAATTTAAGTGATGATGCTCTTTTGTAACTTTTTCTACATTGTAAATGGCAATTGAGGACATGATAAAATTGATTTAAAATTAAATAATTTACATGTGAAGTTGATATTATTAAAAGAATAAGGGTTGAATTAATTTTTGAATAATAATTTATGAAATAAAATAAATTTTTTCTTTCGTCAGATCAGGCTCATGTTAGGGTGTGTACCATATATAAGTTATAACATTTGTGGTATTGAAATATCATAATTAGATCATTTTTAGTTATAAAATAAATAAATTAATAAATAAGTTATAACCAAACACCATTCCCGCTCCGCACGGGTTTTTCCTGCCCCGATCCGCTTGGGTTTTTCTCGCCCTGTTGAGGAAGTGGGGCAAGAACATGTTTTGCTTCTCCCGCCCCATTTGACTCCCGCTCCGATTATATTTATTAAATATATTTGTATGTATTTAACATATATAATTTAATTTTTTTCAATATAATAAAATTAAAACACTACAATATTATACTTAATATTCATTTTTAATTATTTATATTCTATCTTATTTGTTATAATTCTTATTAAATATGAATTATTATCTATAATATACTATAATTTTTTTTAATTTTTTTTTTTCAACTTGCTAAAAAACCCGCCCTGCCACCCCAAATTTCTTCCGCACCTGATATGAAATGGGGTGGGGCAGATTGCAACAAACTCACCCCAAACCCGATCCGTGCCCATCCCTAAGTATAACAAAAGATATTTGATTCATAACCAAAATAATATCTTAGCAAACATCAAAATGAGTCATAATTAACAACATAATGAATTATAATCAAGTCATAACACTACAATAAGTTAATCAAATAAGGCATATGATACACTAAGAATTTCCCCTTCAATATTAGTATACCTTTTTGTAAATATTTTTTCTACACCACACTGTATATATAGAATTCATCCACGTAAATATTTCAATTTTTTTTTCTTTTTCTTTTTTTTTTATATGGTTCAAATTCATTTTATATGAGTTTCATAGTACATTAGTTAAATTTGAATCGCATAATAAAAAAAAAATTTAAAAATACTTTGTACTAGTGTTGCATAAAAAAACAGGCGAAATTGTTCAAATAGGTCCGATTTTCGGTTCCAAAGCTTTGGTTACAGTTCTAGACCGAACTGGATCGTGACATATTTGTTTATTATTTGTTTATATTTTTATATATAAAAATTAAAATGTTTATTATTAGATTTGAACACTCTAGTCATCATTGTGAAATTGATAAAACTCTAACCAAACTAATTATTGTTAATTTGTTTACTAACATTAAAGACATATCATATTTATTGTTATATAAAATTCCTAAAATCGTAAAACTGAACTGAATTAGTTTCTATATTTGACTTTGGCCTGGTTCCAACGTTAATGGTTTGGTCACGGTTTCAATTTTTCTGGAATTGTAAAAATGGGTCCAATTTATGGTTTACTCTAAAATCATATCAATTTGATCCGTGTACACCCCTATTTTGTACACGAATTCTGTACACGCATATTTTCAGTTAATTTCTCTATAGAATTGATATCATAGAATATTAATGGACATAATATACTTTGAATATGGGTACATTTAACTACCTTTCTTTTTTATTCCTAACAAATATGAGTTGACAGTACATGTGAATACTTGTAAGCATAAAAGTGCCTATTTAGAAATTGTCTTTAGAAATTTATTAAGAAAAATGATACATGGCTCAAATTAAACTCTTGTTTGTTGCAAGAGCCATTTCATCATAAGAGAATTTTCTCGGCCTAGTGCTCTATTTGAATTCAACATCCCTAGATTGATCGTGCACTGGTTTGTCTTTTTTTGTTTTTTTGTTTTTTTGCCCCTCGACCTTTCCTCTACAAGACATACCAAACCAAAGCTATCCCACTAACTAGTACTACACCCAAACCAATACTTAGTCCCACCACTAGCTCTATCTTACACTTCCCTTTCACTGTGTCCACCTCTTCTGCCCATCACTTTGAAACACACACTAAACTCCCGTGATTTGATAGTATTTTTTTTTCGTACGAATCTCCTGTTGAAGCTGAGAAGCCAAAGGTCACCCATTCTGGCAAGTGATCTCTCAGATCAATGATTTGAAAATAGTTTTGTGTGAATGTAGAACTATTTTCAAAACCAAAGAAGACAACACTGAGGTTTATACGTAATCTGAGCCTCATTTGGTATACCATGTGAAATACCACTTGGCCAATTAATATGTTCAATGGAATTCCTAGAGTTGATATAGACACCAACATGATTGATTGGCAAGTCCACTTTCCTATTCACCCAAACAAGAAAGTCCACTTTTCAAGGATTATTTCGATAAGTATCAAACTCTATAACGACAAATCAGTTCACGCCAATTGAAGTTGTCGTTTGGTTTTTATTTATGAGGCCTAGGCTACCTCCTACCGAGCCTGGAGGGATATTGGAACCATTGGCAGCAAGAAAGAATGCAAGCCTCTCAGTTATTTCCTCTTATGACAAATGAGAAATTGGTACTGAAGTCGGTGAGGATCCCAGAGGAATTGTCCTAAAGATGCATCGGTTGGGTACACGTTGCACATCTAGTTCTCCACTACAATGATGATACATTGTACACGTTAGGGTCTCGAGTGACTTGGATGCCCTCTTTGGAGATGTAAGCATCTCCTGTGCAATTTATGAGGGGATCATTGTGTTCAATATTTGGGAGGTTGAAGGAAAATGGAGTTGCATTTGCACAAGGAAATAATATAAGAAAGAAGAGAAGGACGGTCATAGACAGAATGAAGAAGATTAGATGATTAGGTTTGGTACGAAAGTTTTAGGTAGCAAGCTTGCACTTTGTCACGTAAATAAGTAGATAGATGGTTGGAGGAGTCACAATTATGTACTAGAGAAAATATTATGCATTATTGTCACTAACTCTTAGCATCTCCAACACTGTTAGTCATTTTAACTAACAAGAGTGTGCTAAAATCTGTATTGTATGATCCACGTTTTGTAATCAGCAATGTTACATACTCACATTTTATGTAAAAAATCAATATGTGACTAAAATTCATTCTAGATGTAGGTCACACTGCTGGAAATCGCACTTTTAGCGGCGTTTAAAAAACGCCGCCATATATATCAAAAACGCCCCTAATTCCTTTTGTGGCGTTTAGTACCAAACGTCGAAGCTGCGGCCGTTGCTGTAGCTTTGCGACGTTTTAAAAACGTCGTGATATTAGTACAGGTTGAAGGAAAATGGAGTTGCATTTGCACAAGGAAATAATATAAGAAAGAAGAGAAGGACGGTCATAGAGAGAATGAAGAAGATTAGATGATTAGGTTTGGTACGAAAGTTTTAGGTAGCAAGCTTGCACTTTGTCACGTAAATAAGTAGATAGATGGTTGGAGGAGTCACAATTATGTACTAGAGAAAATATTATGCATTATTGTCACTAACTCTTAGCATCTCCAACACTGTTAGTCATTTTAACTAACAAGAGTGTGCTAAAATCTGTATTGTATGATCCACGTTTTGTAATCAGCAATGTTACATACTCACATTTTATGTAAAAAATCAATATGTGACTAAAATTCATTCTAGATGTAGGTCAGTTGAATAACGTTGTTTTAGAAATTAAAGGACAAATTAAATTATAAAGATTAAAGTGAAATTTTGTTAAAAGTACAAGGATGTTAAAGACTAAAGTGAAATTTTAACAAAAGTACAATGATAAGTGTTATTAATGCTATCATGTAAATGCTCTCCATTAATTTTCAAAACGACATTACGCAAATGGACCAAATTACTACTTGACTCAAAATCTAGAGATTGACCGAAATAATTAAAAGATAAAAAAATAAAATGAGGTTAAATATAAAATGCAAAGGGGCAAAATGTAATTTTCATTTTGATTTATGACTTGTTGACGTGTGCTTCTTGTCTTGGATGGCATCTTGAAGCCAAAAATTGTCCCACCCATGTTGTTTTCCATTTTCCCATTGTGCATGTTGTTAGTCAATTCCTTTTTGAACCTTAAAATAAAAATTGAGTATAGAAGCTTTCGTAAGTGTTTCTTTAGGTAATTGCTGATGAGAGCAAATATTGGAATAAAACACTATTGAAGCTGTAAGATTGCGTTGATTATATATATATAGTTAATAAAAAAAATCTGATCGTTTATTTTATAACCTTATATCTATTACATTTATACACAACACAATCCAACATCCACGATGTGATGAAAAGTATCATAGAATCATATTATAAGATGCATCCATAACATATTATTCCAAAGAAAAATATATATTCATCCAAGGAATAACAATTATTTAGTAGTAGCTAGTAAATATCTTATTCAAAGTCCAAGATTACCTATGCCCTTGGAGCTGTAACATATACTTTGGTTTCCTCACATTTAAAAGGCCGAATTAAATTTCCATGACTTAACAACATTTTTTTCAAAAAGCGCACCAGTTGAAGCCGAGAAGCCAAATTTAACCCGTTCTGGCAAGTAGTCCCTCAAATCAACTAGGAAATTAAGGCCTTGTTTGACATTATTCATAGAGCTAGTGACAACAACACTCAATTTTTTCGATTTAGAGCGATAACTAATCACAGCTTCATTTTGTATCCCATGAATTATGTTATTGTACCATACTCGAGTCACATTAGACTTAATAGAGTTGATATTGATACCAATATGAGTAACAGGAGTGATGTTTTGTGGATCCCAAGTATTCTGATAGGTATCAAACTCTACCGCGACAAATTGGCTAGTGGGTTCCAATGTCGATGGGTTGATTGGGAGCCCAATGGCACCGCCAGCAGTGGTGCTGGCACCGGAATGTTGAAGGACGAATGCAAGCCCATCTGCAAAACTTGAACTTCCTTTCGAATCAATCACGAAGGTGAAATTGGTGGTGAAGTCGGTCAACTTGCCAGAAACTTTGTCCCAAAGGTGAAGTGGTTTGACGTAGGTGGCTTTGCCGGCTTTCTGCTCGAAGTTGGTATCGTGCTTATTTGCCGCAAGGTGGATGCCTTCGGAGGAGATGTAAGCGTCTCCATTGGTGGTTATGTCGTTGCGATTTTTGGGACCGATTTTGGGGATGTTAAAGTTTAGTGCAGTTGCACAAGGAGTTGCGAGAAGAATGTAAAATGTGATAATTGAGAGACAAGAAAGTTGAATGTGTGATTGGAAAGCCATTGTTGTGATCAGAAAATTTTATGGGATTGGAACTATGTAGATAATTGGTATATAAATAAATAGATCATTGTTCCAAATCTTGTGATATGTTGATTTATTAGTGTCTTTTTGTACTTTTCATTTAATTGATGATGATTTTTTTTCCCGCCACCCGTCATGTTCTTTAATTTCACCGCCTTTTTCTCTCTTTGTCTATCTTCCCCTATCCCATAATCGCTAGGCTACTCTACTCATTTTTAATTTATAGAACGTCTATGAACTCAAAAAATAAAACAAAAAATTTACCTTAAATTTTAAATATACAGCATAAATTTAAATTTCTTGTTATGATTCATAAATGAATCTTGATCTTGAGAATATACATTCTAGATGATTTTTTGGCATGTTTAATTTTTATTCCGGACAATCCAAAGTACTATTCAGTAAAAGTCCCACATTTGCTAAGGTGGCTGTTGGTTGTTTATTAGTCAATTAAAAAAGTCTCTCCCCAAAACTAAGCTAAGGTGGCATGTTCTGTGTTAGCTATGATGCAATTTTGGTGTCCATTTGATGTAGCATGTATGGCCATATAACTTTTGGGTCAAAAAATGGGCAAGACAAAAGCCAAAAAAAAAGGGGTTGGATTTGGAATTGAGTGAAATTTGGTGGTCAATTTTGCGAATTTACTGTTTTTTTGAAAGTTTTGAAACTTTACTCGCGGATCTCGGAATTTGATTCCGTAAAACTTGCCATGATCATGGAAGCATGTAGTTTCTTTATTTTATTCCGAATTTCTATTTTTGGTTGTTTTCTATTTAAGTTAAGTTTGTCTTTACTAATAAATAATTGAGGTAAGTCTTAGGGCTCTTTAATTTTTGAGAAATGATATATTTTAAATTTTATACTCTTTTGTTCTAACTTTGAGTATTTTTTGTGAATTAATCATTATTGAGTTTTTATTGTCAATATTCTTTGTGAATCAATGAGTCTTAAGAAAAATCTTGTTTTCGGTATTAAATTTTCAATTAACAAATTTTAAAATTATTATTATTTCACGTTTCACGCTGCATCGCGATCTTAGCACTTTTGTTTAGGTAGATAAATAAATATTTATTGATAAAAAAAAATATTTACTAAAAATCCCTTGGGTTGTATCTTGTGTGAAATAAGTCAAAAAAAATTAATGCTCAAGGTTCTTTTACTACGGCAAACCTCACCTCAGTTGGGCAATTACCGGAGTAAATTATGCACTTATCATTTAATTGCTGAATTTTTTTGGTTGCCGCCGCCACTTGCGTTTTTAATTTCACCACCACCTTTCTCTCCATTCCTCCCCTAACCCTTCGACCTGGCTATTTTTTTTGGACTTATTAGTCAATAAAAATGTCTCCCCACACTAACTCAGCCGGCTTTGGTTGAATTAAAATTTTTTAGCCTCCTATGATCCCATCTTCTTAACTGCACAACACAATCCAACCTCCATAATTTTATAAAAAATATTACAAAATTATATTATAAGATACGGTAGATGTGTTACAAGATTAGAATAAAGAAAGTTAAGAATGAGTATGTTCGAGAATTGGTAGAAGTAGTACCGATAAAATTTAAGAAAGAATAAATTGAGATAGTTTGGTCATATACAACGGAGACCAATAGAGACAGTAGTAAAGAGATGTGATATAGTAACAGTAGATGATAGTGTTAAGGGAAGTGATAGACCTAAATTGACGTAGACTAATGTAATAAATAAAGATATGAATCTCCTTAATTTGACTAACGAAATAGTCTTGAATAGAGTCAAGTAAAAAAAAATGATTCATGCAGCCAACTCCATTTGATGGGATTTAAGACTTGGTTTGGTTTGGAATCATATTATAAGATGCATCTAGAACATATCATCATATATACATATATGGGAAAATTACACTGACGGTCTCTATGGTTTGGGGCTCGTATCACTTTGGTTCCTGACTTTTCAATTGTGACACATTTGACCTTAAATTTTAAATTTTATTTTAAATAAGGACAATTAAAGATACCATTGCTCAATTTCAAAGGTAAAATCGTCAATTTGATAAAATATAAACTAATTTGACAAAAATAAATGTCAAAAAAGTATTTTTGACTTTTTAAAAATTATATATACTCACCAAAGATAAAATTATGTAAAATTGATAAATCTTTTACACGAACCCCAAACTATAAAGACTGTTAATATAATTTGTGCTATATAAATTATTAAAAGTACTATTTTCGCATACTTAGATGTCACATTATAAGGACTTACTTTTTTTTTTCTAAGAGAGTCACGTCAGTATGTATTTTTTTAATTACATATAGAATTCTACACAAACACAAACTTAATTTAAATTAAACTAACTTTACCTATTTTATATAGATTCTATTTGACAAATATTTCTTTTCAGTATATTTTTCATGATAAATTGAGATAATCCACAAACACAATACCAATTTTGAATTTCATGTTTTTCTTCCTAATTCTTTCAAGGGAATTATAGATTTTTTTTAATGCTAAATTACCCTTTGTTTTCCTCTTTTTTTTTTTCATGCATTATTCTATACCCAATACCTATTCCATATTATGGATTTGTTATTTAAATTTTATAATGATTCTATATATGAAATTATTCATTATTTTATTGCAACTCACATGAGGAAAAACCTGCACAACAATGATTATCTCAAGGAACCTTTAAGTTTAAATTTACTGCTTGAGTTACTTTTTCAATTATTGAACAAAAAGTTCTTTTATGCTTTGACATCATATTGCAGAAGATTAATCACTTTACATACTGAGATGTATCTATCGTTTGAATGTTTTCATTCTTTTTTCTTTTTGAATTTAGATGTTGTTATGTAATTCTTTCTTCATTAGTCGTTGTTGAATTTTTTTTATATAGTTGACATTTTAATATAATTAAGAGTCTTTATTTTACATTCTTATAGTTTAATAATATACATATATCACATAAAATCATTATATGATAATCCAACTACAACATATTAATATTTAATTTTTTAATAAATTTTATATAATTTATATTTCTACATATTTTTATTTTCCAAATGAATATAAAAGAAAATTAAATAGTTAGAATTACGCTTAATTTTATGTTACTAATTCTTCTTCTATTTTAAATATTGTTTTTAATATTAAAATGAGTATTTATTTTATTATTTTATAATTTAATATATATCATGCAAAATTATTATATAATCATTTATTAAAATTAATATATATAAGTATTCAAGTAATAATTTTATAAAACGATAGCGCCAAAATTATCAAAATAAATAAATAAAATCATAGTTTAAAATTAAATTTATTATTTTATAACACATTCTACCATCAAAACATTTTTCACCCACCCAACAGTCCTCTTAGCACCCCAAACAGCCACTTCCACCCTCCAACAACCATGCAGACAAATTCTTCGACGAAAGTTCAATGTGGGTTTTGGAAAAAAGATACTGCTAGGATGGGTTTGACTTGACATCGAGGCAATTTGTAATTTGTTCCATGGGCAACATTGCGCTGTAGTGGTTCGAAAAGAAAGAACCCGGTTTTATATATGTAAGTACTAGCCTATTATCATCTGTACTATATACGGAAAAATTATAAATATTTATATTTATTTTAGATTTTTTTAAAGGAAGTTTTTTTGATAAATCTTTTTTTTAAAAGATTTATTCCATCCAACTCATATTCTTCTTGACTATTCCATTAGGTCCTATTTGAGGTAAGAAGACCAAAATACCATTTTCATCTACTTATGTTTCATTTAATGCACATTATTTTCTTATGTTTCAATAAGTCCTATGGGTGACGTAATTACCAAAATATCCCTAATGTGAATGTTCACACCGTCAATGTGAATGTTCCTATTTAAGGTAAGAAGACCAAAATACCCTTTTTATCTACTTATGTTCCATTTAGTTCACATTATTTTCTTAAGTTTCAATAAGTCTTATGGGTGACATAATTACCAAAATACCCCTAATGTGAATGTTCACATCCTATGAGTGACATAATTACCAAAATATCCCTAATGTGAATGCTCACATCGTCAATGTGAATGTTCACACTGTCAATGTAAATGTTCACACCGTCAATGTGAATGTTCCTATTTGAGATAAGAAGACCAAAATACCATTTTCATCTACTTATGTTCCATTTAGTCTACATTATTTTCTTATGTTTCAATAAGTCCTATGGGTGACATAATTACCAAAATACCCCTAAAGTGACTGTTCACATCCTATGGGTGACATAATTACCAAAATACCCCTAATGTGAATGTTCACATCGTCAATGTGAATGTTCACACCATCAATGTGAATGTTCCTATTTGAGGTAAGAAGTCCAAAATACCCTTTTCATCTACTTATATTCCATTTAGTCCACATTATTTTCTTATGTTTCAATAAGTCCTATGGGTAACATAATTACCAAAATACCCCTAATGTGAATGTTCACATCCTATGGGCGACATAATTACCAAAATACCCCTAATGTGAATGTTCACATCGTCAATGTGAATGTTCACACTGTTAATGTAAATGTTCACACCGTCAATGTGAATGTTCCTATTTGAGGTAAGAAGACCAAAATACCATTTTCATCTACTTATGTTCCATTTAGTCCACATTATTTTCTTATGTTTCAATGAGTCCTATGGGTGACATAGTTACCAAAATACCCCTAATTTGAATGTTCACATCCTAAGGGTGACATAATTACCAAAATACCCCTAATGTTAATGTTTACATCGTCAATGTGAATGTTCACACTGTCAATGTAAATGTTCACACCGTCAATGTGAATGTTCATATCATCAATGTGTAGGGGCTCGGCCCAGCCCAGGCCGGGGCCAACCCATGCAATGCCTCGTTGGTGCTTGCCAAAATTCGGGCCGGGCCGGGCCGGACTGGCCCACGGGCCAAAAAATTAGGCCTAGGCCCTAGCCCTGGCACAAAGGTATTCAGGTTTTGGGTGCCCC